TGTCGGGCTGTGCGCCACAGCTTTGTTCCTATTCTTCCTCTTGCCCAGCCTTCTCTGATGCCATTGTCCAACCGACTGCTCACGCAGAGAGACTGAGACCAGCTGCAGTATGCGCTCGGTCTTTCGTTGGCCCTCTATATTTTTGTAAAGTCTTGCCATCACCAATAAACACCTAAAGACCCTCTTTCGTGCACCTAATGCTTTTTTTTGCAATGCCCTGCGAGACAAATACTGTGCAAGCGATTAGCGTTATTGATCAAGCGGCGCCGAGTCAGCCTAGGCCGAGAAACCTGCTCATTTGTCCTTCTTGGTCTCCTTCTTGACCGAGTCCTCAAACTCCTTCCTGGCCTTAGCCTTGCGGTCGGTTTCCTCCTTCAGCACGCGCGGGATCAGCGAGCTCTCGACGTAGACACGGCCGACGACATAGACAGCGCATGCAGTCAGAATGCAGAACATGAGGGCAACAATGGGCTGGATAATGAAGTCCTCCTCATGGCGCTTGTTCGACATCAGCAGAGTCATGGCAGAACCCTCGTACCACCGCAGGTTGATCTGCATGGTAGTCACACCGCTGACAGTCTCAGGCAGCGGGTGGTCACGACTGGGTACATAGCGGCAGCAACCAGGGTGCCCTTCTCGCCGTGCAGGACGGCATTGAAGTTGCCTGAGATCCGCTTGAGCTTGGATCCGCCGCGCACACGCACACCGTCGATATGCAGAGGAACCTCCAGGTACTGTGTGAACGTGAGCTTGTTGCGCGGGATACGGCACTTGAGCGCCCGGTTGAACGACAGCGCGCGCAGCATCTGCTCGTGGAACTTGTCTTCGGCCTTGACTGAGCCACTGGGTTGGGCCGTCTCGGCCATAGTAGAACGACAGAGCACCGCCGGGACTCCACACACGTCGGACTCAGCCACCGGAAGCCCGCCGTCGGGGTTCATCAGCTCGCGGCCCTGCTCGCCAATCTCGGCACACTCGACTTTGACCAGGTCGTCATGCCTTGAAGTCTACAAATATGAGGCTGCTCCAAGATGAGTCATTACGTTGCAATTTCGCTTTTTCCGTTTTGCTTTTAGCAATTCAAAACTTACCGTCGGCCGACGCTGCCTTCTTAGCGCCCAGAACTGCAGTCGACAGAGCGAGCACCGAGGTTAAACAAGCCTGAAAGCTTCATCGTTATTAAAGAGCTATGAGGTGTAGGAATTAAAAATGAGTGGGAGATAACGAGAAATGGATGAGTGGAGGAGAGAAGGACGGGCGGCCGCTACCACGCATATAAGTGAGCAGCCCGTCTGGCCCTGGTTAATTTTTTCTCATGTGCACACGCAAATCGATGAAAGCGCTCGATAAAAGCCCTCGCTATCCCGTTATTCTTGTGACGACCAGTCCTGGGAGAGAGGGACATGGATTTTGCCGGTCCATTTCCGTTCCCACGAAACAAAGAAAGTCGATCATGTGTTGGCACCGGTTCGACGTTTCCGCTTTTTGCCGTGTAGTTCTATCCAACAGGTAGATTTCCAGCCAGGAAGCAGCTGGGGCTACCAGCTAAACCCAACGCGCGGTGGGTTAGAGGCAGGACACTCACTCGTGACACTGTATACATAGCTGGCTCTGGATGTAGCAAGTCTAGCTCGGAGGAGTTTTTGGAAGGCGGCTACAACCGAAAACTAGAAAGGGAGGTTAGCGCGGGCTATTTCCTAATGTGAGAGGAAGGATCAATCGGTATGGGTACTCTGCGTGTTAAGCCCGAAGGTAGCACTGTCCAGTTAACCGATGGAAGAACCAGCACTGCTCTCATTACGCTTCATGCCGCACAACATGCAAAACAGCTACACACCCTGATGTCTGTGCTGTAGCTTTCCCTGCAGCAACTGCCTCACACTGGCTATCTGCATGGGAGGTTGCAAGGGAATGGACTGGCGAAGGCTGAAGAGGCGTCACATTTGCCAACTGTCCCCGTCCCGGTCAGTGGACACGCCGCCAACGCAGGTCCGCACTTATTGGCAGCCGGCATTGTGTGGCCCTGCGTACCCTCCACTGCCTGCCCCCGGCCCGTGACGCCATGTGCTGTTCCGACCCTTCTACTCAGTGAGTGCCGATTCCGAGAGCGCCTTTCTCCACGCGATCGTTGCCGACAGGGCGCTGGTTATGACTGCCGCTGTACTCTCCCGACTGGATTGATAACTAACCGGGCGCCTCTCGATCTCCAGACTCGCACCATGAAGTCGCTCTGCAGTGTGGGCTATAAGAAGACAACGCTCTGCCTAGGACCTGGCCCTGTACTCTCAGCAATTTGTTCCTTAGACCTTACACACCATGAGCGAATACTGGACAGCCTTTCCGTGCGACTTCGCCGAGAGCGTCAATTTCATCTGCGGCAACTGCAATGCGGTGTTCAGCGAGATGCTGACACTGAACACGCACTGCGACCAGTGCTGTCCATGCGCGCCTGCTGCGATGCAGGAGACAAGCAGACGGACAGCACTGAAGCGCTTGCTGTGGTTTCCCTAGGCACCTGCCAATCAACACAAGCAAAGACAAGACGCCCCATTCAACTCTACCCACCCGCCTGAGGCGCAATGTGCAAGGGCTGAGCTGATTGCCAGACCAAAGCCAGCATTGCCGCCTCTCGATCTGCACCAGGTCCTTGCATGCAGGCGTGCGTGAAGCGTCTATCGCAACAAAGGAACACATCTCGGGATCTGTTCTGCAGATCAATTACCACATCACAGGTGTTTGTTTTCGCGCCTGTCCTGCTGGTCCCGTGAACCAAGATGCTGCATTGCATATGTTGCATGTATATATTTATTACTTGTACTAGTTACCTATACAAGATTTTATAGTCCAAAAAGTGACCAACCGTCCGCTAGAACCTTTTTAGTTGGTTAAAAGTTAAAACTCTTTTAAACTTCAACACGGGTTTGGGTTACTTGCTCTGTAAACTCCTTTTGATCTTATGCGGCATCCGACCTCATCGGTGAAACCAGTATGACAAGCTGTTATTGTAGTGGCAACAGGTCTCCACTAGATATTGTTATGTCTGTTGAATGTGTAAGGATTTAAAAGTTATATTTAATATTGAAGAAAAGAGAGAAAAGGGAATAGACGAATTGTGCAGGGGAATTTTCAATACAGCCGCCTGTGCAACTTGTCAGAGGCTAGACTCTACCTCCATATTGTAGGTTGTAGCGAGGCTCTCGTTGGCGCCTGGCTTGCCGTCACCTGATTCGACTGACATGTCGACGTCAGAGACAGTCGCAGCGGGCGCGCAACAGTACCACACGGTGGAGTTCATTAGGACTGATGTGTCGATCATGGGCTTGGTTATCATCGGCATGGATGTCAGCAAGATGATGTTGGATTTTACTGCTGAGCACAACACCCGGCAGGTTATCAAGTGCTTCTCGATGCCCAAAATCAATGATGTGATAGAGCATGCTGAGCGGCCGTATCCACCATCGTGCTGTCTTGACCAGCTAGTTCTTTTTTGGGCAGCCACAAGTCTAGTATATGATCGTTTACAAGCCAATAATGCCCGTCCGCCTGCTGGTATGGTGATGTCCCCCTCGGCCGCACCTCCCTCCGCTGTGAACCTGGTTACGGAGTCCACCCAGCGGCAAGAATCATCCCGAGTAGGCGAATGCTTTCCAAGACCCACATGGCATGTGTACCAGCGAGTAGCGAAGCGAGTTTTAAAGGAAGCGGATTTTAAAGTACTACCACGGTGAGTGTCATAAACGCTTGTTTCTGTCTGAATATGTGCAAAATGCTATTTTGTTTACTTTTCGCGAGAGTTGCGCCCAGCCATATACACGTCCGATTCAGGGTCAAAGATCGAGTCCCTGATCAGGTCGGCTTCCTCGGGCCGCACCCACTTTGTCTTCTTGAAGTGCTTCCAGCCGCCATAGAGGATAACAATAACGGGAATGGACACATACGAGGACACAAACGAGCGCGCATCGAAGCCATCAGCGAAGGCAGTCCAGCCTTGGCCAAAAATGATAATGATGATGGTGACCAGGCAAAAGGCCGGGCCAAACGGATAAAAAATAGCCGTGTACGGCAGATCCTTGACATCGAACCCCTGGCGCACATAGGCCCGGCGGAAGCGCAGGTGGGCGAAGGAAATGCCTGCCCAGGCGGCAAAGCCAGTGGACGCCAGACAGACTCAGGATCCACATATACACAACCTGGTCGCCGATCAGCGACAGCAGGAAGATGATAGTGGCGACACCCAGCGACAGCGCCAAGCACCAGATCGGGATGCCGCGCTTGGTGACCTTGCGGAACACGGCGGGGCCTGGCCGTGCATGGCTAGATTCCATAGTGTACGGGTGGCGATGTAGATGCACGAGTTTCCGGCGCTTAGCACGGTAGTCAGAATAATTGCGTTCATGACGTCGGCTGCGGGCTTCAGACCGGCTTTCTGGAAGACAATGGAGAAGGGTGACTGGCCAATGTCTTTGGTGCTTGCCTTGACCAACGACTTGTCGCTATACGGGATAATTAGGCCGATGAGGAAGATGCATGAGACGTAGAACAGGAGGATGCGCCAGAACACCTGGTTCACCGCCTTGGGAACTGTCTTGACTGGGTCCTTGGCCTCGCCCGCAGTGATGCCGATGACCTCGGTTCCCTGGAAAGAGTACCCGGTTAGAATCAGCGTCGCCAGGACACCTGGCACGCCGTCATAGAACGGGGCGCCCTCGACATGCCAGTTCTCGAACCCGTAGGTGTGGCCGCCAAGCCCGCCCGCAGCGACCACAATGGCAATGATGATAAACACGATGACCGTGATGACCTTGATCATGGCAAAGTAGAACTCGGCTTCGGCATACCCGCGCACGCTGAACAGGTTGAGCCCCAGCAGAATCAGGGCGGCTAGAATCGACCACAGCACGCCGCTGATGTTTGGCAGGTAATACCGGCACACAATGCCTGAAGCCACCAGCTCTGATGCCGTCACGCACACGTAGTTGAACCAGTAGTTCCAGCCGAGCGCAAACCCAATCGCCTGGTCGCCGTATCGCGACGCATACTCGTTGAACGATCCGGCGATCGGTGTGAATGTCGCGACTTCGCCCAGCGAGGACATCAGGAAGAACACGATGATGCCCATCAGCAGATACGACACAAGTGCTCCGCCCGGCCCGGCCGATGCCAGCGACGTGCCGGCGGAAATAAACAGCCCGGTGCCGATGGTCCCGCCCAGAGCAATCATCGTCATGTGGCGTTCCTTCAGCTGGCGCTTGAGCCCATGCACCTTGGTGCTGTGGGACTCGCCGTCGTTGTCACCCATTTGCGAAATCGACGGGCTGAGATCGGCCATCTCGATCGCGTCGGCATCCCCGTGCTCGGGCTTGGTGGTCGACTGTGCCGCTGTCTGCTTGTTGCGCCGCTTTGAGAATATCGCGCCAACTCCCTTGATGGCCATGTTGACAGTAGGAACCCTGCAAAGATATTTGTGTTGAAAATGAAAAGAGCGGAAAAAAGCAAAGCTGGTGCGTGAGCTAGCTGCACGGACTATGTTTGTCTGGAACCTCGGTTAGTCATAGTCATTCCCCCCAAAGAATAAATTAAACGTGCCGCAGACAGCGAAGCGACAGGGCAAAAATTTTTGTCATGCGCTTTGAAGGTTCTCTAGAAATGGCGCACTACCAATCGACAGCAGGACTACCGCATATGGAAGGTTTGGAAACCCACTGGGGAGCGCAGAGGGATTCTCGAAACGAGCAAAAGCTTTATTATACCTCTTGAAGACAAAACCAAGTGGTGGGCCCAGCGCTTTCCTTCCAAGCAGACGAGGATCGGCTGCTGCTGCTAGCCCACTGGCTGCAGGCAGGCGCGAGGCACATCTCTACTCCCAGCCGTCGCTTCCGTTCTGGTCCGCAGAGGGCTCGGCACCCGCCGGAGGCAGGTCAGCGCGGCCGTTGGCGTCAGGCGAACGGGGCGACGCGTTGGCGTTGTCGCGCGGCGGCAGCGGCGACGGGGAGCGCGGAGCAGCAGCAGGCGGCGGCGGCAGATCGTTGGGCCCGTCCCGCATGACCGGGCTGCGCGACCGTGAGCGGGGCGATCCCGGCGAGTACCGGCGGGCCGGTGGCGGCGGCGAGCGCGACGACCGGTTGTTGTACGACGACCGGCGGTAGCGCGGAGAGCGGGAGCGCTCCCGCGAGTACGAACGCGAGCGCGACCGGCGCGACGACCGGCGCGGCGAGTACGAGCGCTCACGTGGGTAGCGGCCGCCTCCACCTCCACCGTTGCCACCGCGAGGGCCAAAGTCCTAAAGAATCAAGAAATCAGGGGTTAGATTGGCGCGTGTCGGCGATAGTCGGGGTGTCTGCATCTGCTCGGTGCACTTACCTCACGCAGAACCACGCGGCGACCGCGGAGCTCCTCGCCGTCGAGCTTGCGCAGCGCCGTGCGCAGGCCCTCCTCGTCGACAAACTCGACGATGCCCTCGCCAGGGCGGAGCTTGTGGGCGTCGGCAAACGACACCTCGCCCGCGCGCCGGGCAAAGTCCTTGAGATCCTATATAGCGAGCGAGCCAAGCCAGGCGGTTGCAGAACGTATCCCCCATAGCGCGTTAGACCGTGTTCACCGCCACACCGATGAAATTTCCGTATGCCACGCCGTATCAGACGTCGCCATCCCCCACCACACAGCAATCCAGCCCGTGCAGAACCGCAACAATCGAGCAATATCGTCAACTTTTATCCAGCGTGTGTAGACTGAAATCTCTGGCGCTCCAAAACAAACTGTGCCCGCGCCTTCACCAAATCACAACAGCAAGCGCGACGTGTTCCTCTCAGCCATCCTCCCCGCTGCGCCGTTGCTTTCGCTGCGTACGCGCCAACAGAAAAAGGACTGCCCAAACAACCACTCTCACGCACGCTGTCTCAATGGAATACACAAGGAATAGAGGCAATCAGCACCAAAAAGAGCACTCCACCTGCCCCACCCTCGGCCACGCGCCAATAAGCCGCCATCAGCGCGTTAGCCAGGCGAGAGCAGAGGCGGAGTGGATGAAGCACGGGAGGAGCGAAGAGCACACTGTCTAGTGCTCTTCAACAGTCTTATCATGCAGCCAAATCCACAGAAAACCAACCGACGAAACTTACCTGCCAGCTCACCGACGACGAAAGGTTCTCAACGAGCATGCGGAACGGCGTGCGCTGTGGCGCGCCCATGCTGCCCATGCGGCGTCCGCGGTCGTCTCCGCGGTCCTCACGCCGGAAGCCGCGGTCCATCCGCTCGCGGCGCCGGTCAACACGGGCCGGCTCGATCAGCAGGCGCTCACCCATGAAGTCGCGGTTGTTGAAGTCGTGCATCACGTCCTCGGCATCGCGCCGGTCGCGGAACTCGACAAACCCGAACCCGGACAGCAGGCAAATGTCACGGATCTCTCCGTATCCCTTGAACAGCTTCTCGATATCGCGCTCACGCACATCACGCGGCAGACGACCGACATACAGGCGGGACATGGCTAAACGGGGTGGTTGATACTTTTGGTGTTATTGGGTGCAATAGCCAAAGCAGAAAGACAAGAATAGAGAAAAAATGTTTAGAGGCAGGTTTTGTTGTTGGAAAGCGAGAAAGCCATTCACACTCAGAATTTTTTTGTGGTGCCAGACTCTGACAGAACAACCCAATGCCACTGTGATTGGCTGCAGCTGATTCCGATTTAGATCTTCCAGGATCAGATCTGCAGGTCACGCCCGCCATTCCCTTCGCATGGTCACGTGCCCGAGGCATCACAGGTGCACCCTGGTCGCGCAGTACAGCCAGTGGCCTTCGAATGAAGTCAGATCGTCAAACAGTTCATGGCACATCGGACACAGCACGGCGTTGTAGCAGCAGCGACATATAGGGGGACCGCTGGTGATAGCCATATGTCCGTTTGGTTGGTTGCAGAGTCCAATTAGCAAGGCGGGCTGTGGAGGGCGAGCGAGCAGCACGCTTTTGGATGGTAAAATCGGGGATGGTATCAGCCGATGCCAGCTGGGGAATAGATGGGGAGCGGAGGAGAGATTGGTGTTCTTGCGCAGCACACCCGAACAAAGCCTCTTTAAGCTTCTCCAGATCTAATATGTCCCGCTCTCCTGGCCCGGCTTTCTTGCCCCGGCTCCAGAGCTACTGCTAAAGCCCCCTTGGTTCCCCACATTGCAGGTAGAGTTCTGTATATGTGAAATGTGGGCATCGTGCACCAAATCAGCAATCCCCTGGTGGTGGTGGTGGTAGTGGAGGTAGTGGCAGACACGTCACACATCCCCTCGTGCATTAATTGCCTGGAGTTTGATACTTGTTACAAAGTTGACAAAAGGTGTATCTACAAGAAATATCTGCATTGTTCTCCCGCGCAACACCTCCCTGCGCCCTTGCCCACGCTCTGTCTAAGCTCAAGAGAGGCGGCTATCCTCCCAGCAGATACCCGCCTCCTCTTATCTCGGCTTTCCGGCAGCGTGAACCGCCGCAAGGACAGACAGCGTCGGGATATCGCTGCTCTAAGCGTGTCCCAATGGCATCAGCCGGTGGTCGCCGCAATCAGCGAAATGCAGCGCCAAAGCGCACTCTTCATGGAACGTTTCATCGCACAGCGGACAGAAGAACCCGCACACGAGCGCCGACTTGTAACCAGTGATGCATACCATTGTGTGTCTGTGAGCGAAATCAGTCGTAATCCGAATCTTTTTAGGGTTTTCTGTGGGGAGGGAGCTTTTGAATGGTTTTAATGATGGAATAGGAACAAAAAATATTGGGCAGCTTAAATAAAGCGAGAGCAAAAGAGCGCGTTCCAAAAAAAAAATATACGGCTGCTGGGCACTGCAGGCAATATTGCAGCGATTCAACAAGATGAGGGGAGACTGAGGATGGATGCTGCTTCTCTGGCTGCTGCCGGGCTCGAGATTCCCTTGCACCTCCTACCGCCAGACCCCTGCCTGCCTTTCGTTCCGTAGGTGTTTCTTTGTGTGGGATTTTTCCCTCTTTGACGCCCTTTTCGCCTCACTATCATTGTGCTTCACTGAGGCGGAAAGGGATTGTTTAAGGTAAATCTCAGAGAAATGTGAACATCCGTCCTGCACTAGCCTAATAAATGGCCAATACTTGCTGGCAGCGATCTACCAACCCATTCTTTATCCCTGGTTCAGAGTTCCCAGGCACACGCCAGCGCAAGCATACCGCTATCTGTCTGCTTTATTAAAGGGATACAGGTCCGTGGCAGATGCCGGTATGCTCTGGACTCGCGTCCCTGGACGCCTGGACTTTTCCACCTATGCTTTGCATGTCTCTTATTCTACAATACTACACTCTCAATATTGGTACTGGTATTTTTCGCATGCTCATCGGTTTGGGTGTGAGCATTAAGCTCTTCTAGCGTCGTGTATGCCTTTGTCTGGTCGCATGCGAAACAAAAGATTCTCTGTTCGCCCTTGCCACTCATACTGACGGTAGGAGGGTGCTGGTACGTATATCAAGCGGAATAAAGCCAAAGGTATGTGTAGTAGAATGCAGTATGGAAAAGACTGCAGAGTATCGTTTGCCTGTTGGAGAGTCATTAAGATAAAGCGAAAAAGGGGGATACAGCCGATTGGTGTATACATACATATGAGGGGGCTGGGCGCAGGCCAAGCGACACACACCAAGCGATACACACCAAGTGACTTGCGCTCGCCAAGTGACTTGCACTCGCCAAGCCAGGTGGGCACCAATTACACAAGAAAACATAATGCCTCGTGCCAGAAATAGACTTCAACTCTTATTTCTCAAATAATGTGTTCTGTTAGACACGAAAAAAATGATGATGAGCACATTGCATGAGCCACGCGCCCGTCTCCCAAGACTTTCATGTCGATACGCTGATACTTCATTGGCGCCCTCCTCTCGGCAGGTAACGTCTGTGGCTGTTGTCATCAAAGCACAGAGTGATCCTGGCACTCGTATGAGGCACGATAGTCACTGTGCTGCTGACAGTGCTTGAAGAGTCTTTAGACATAGATTGACCTGGGTAACATTGCATAAAAGTCAAATATTAGTTTGAATATTCAGCTTCTGACACTGTAGACCCGGGCATGTGTGAACACTGGCTGCATATAGCCAGACTCTGCCGGCATACAATACCCTTTTCCATGGCGTAGTCTTCGGCTTCATACTTTCATAAAGACAATGGATAAAACAATAGCGCTTTTAATAAAATAGGTAACTGGGAAAGGGGTATAGTGCTTCAAGCAAGCAGCACAGATGGGCAGAGTAGGTGAAAAACAGTTTATGCAAAAAATGCAGGATGTTTTGAGGCAAGAGGATGGCTTCTGGGATGCCTTTCTTCTAGCCGATGGGTGAGATGGGCGCGGTGCGAGTTTCGGCTCACAAGCCAAGTCAGGAGTGACTCGATTCCACGTGCACGTTGTACGATTCAAACTCATGGTATATCGCTCCACAGTAGAAGCAGACAAACGCCTGTTGGCGAGTAAGCGATTTACACAGCCTCAATTGAGACAGGTTCTTGAATGCTACGTTACAGGTCATCGCAAGAGGGCGTATGTGGTTGGTATATTAAGAAGGAATATAGTATATAAATGATCCAGTATGGCCAGCGAGGTCAAGGAAAGAGAAGCAAAAATGGCGGCAGTGGGAGGGAGTGGTAATCGAACAGTAGAGAATGGTAACCGCAATGCAACCCGTACAGCGATGACCAGGTGGCAGAAAAAGAACGAGTGAGGCGGCGAGCGACGGCAAACAAGCGGCATGCTGGCTTATATTTTTTCTTCAAGAATATTGCCCGTCGGGGCAGTAACAGAATAACCTCGACCGCTTGGCTTGGTGGGTGTATGTGGCTTGCCTTCGTGCCCAGGTCCCTTGTTTGCTCCAACGTGGGTAGTGCATGACGCCCAGTGAAATTGTGCATGATTTTTGTTGGCATCCTTCGCCTCATTTTCAATTGTCACCTTGATTGTTTCTGAAAGAGAGCGACATGGTAGAACCACGTCTATTCCATTTCGATTCGGTATTGTTGGCTGAAGTGTCTACGAATATAAGGCAGAAAGGAAGACGTGACGGACAGCAGGTCCTGCCTATGCCTATTCTCGCACGAGTGCCTTCCTTTTTTGCCGTCCTGCCCTATGATCTGCCCAACAAGTACAGGAGTAGAAATAAGGCCTGCGAGTTATCGTGCCGGTGGCACCAATTGAACAAAGCGCCTTCCGCAGTCTTCTGATCCTCCACTTTAGGTGGAAAGTCCATGTCTGTAGGGAATGATGCAATTGACTGCCAAGCACACAAACAGGGAATATCAGGTAATGGTGTCGTCAGAAAAACGCGCCTCAGCTTTGCACTTGCAGCATTGCGCAGGCCACCTGACAAGGGGGCAGGAGGATCCGCTTCTCCCAGCAGCACAGATCGCGGTGCATACATACTATACAGCGCAGCGAAATACATGTTGTACGAGCCTATCTTCGTCGTGGAATTCCGCCCGACAATAATATCAATTGTATACCCGGTGATCTGCACGCTTGACGGGGCAACGGTGACGCCAGCGCCAGCGCCAGCACCAGCACCAGCACCAGCACCAGCACCAGTGAACGTAGCTGAAAATCCTCTGTAGAAACCCCATTTGAAAACGGTGGTTTGTGATTGTGTGAGCTAATGGAAGGATGCAGCTTGGGAGTATCCCAGGACGTCCGAAGAGAGATCCTATCCACGATTGTTCGCTTTTATACCTTCACTCTGATTGGCATGGGTTAAAATCCTCCATATCTTGGCAACACCACCCACAGCGTAGTGGTAGCTTTGCGATTCTTGATTCCTTAGGTCCCCATCACGAATCATATAGAAGACAACAGCTATCATTGATGAGTTGGTATTATGTGCGAAAGCATAATAAGAATTTACATAAATGTCTTGCCACTTGGTGGGAGGAAGTTATTGTAGTGCCATTCACCCGCTTTGGCCCTACTTGCAAAAATAAGCACGGTGCACCTCGAGGAAGTCGGGGTAGGCGAAAGTGTCGCCGCAGATCGTGCATTCGTACCCAGAGCTTTGCGCAGTCGATTTCATTAGAACGATAGGCGCGAAAAGATAATTTATGTACTCGGTGAGTGGCGAAAGGTAAGAAAAAACTGGCAAAAACCTGAAGGAAAAAGAGAAAAATCGGAAGGACACCAATCGATAGGGCGGCATCCTTTATAACCCCTGGACGGGCAAACGTTCCTAACACTCGCTGATACACAATTGCCGGAAAAAGCGATACCACACTATAATTAGTCTGGCTTATTTTCTGCCCGCAACTCCTTTTTTTAGGGACCCAACTGGCGGCCAGCCGCCTGAAACTCTTCCGGCTTTTCTAGCTTGTGGTCGAGTCTATTTTTGGGCCGGCAGTGCAAGCGCACAGAGGATCCACAGAATGGCACTGGCAAATTGACCGAATGGGAAGAGGCCGGAACAGCCCTGGTACGCTACTTATGCCCCTGCGTTGGCCTAAAGACGGGCTGGTGTTTGCACGAGGGTACGTGTCCGTTGAGCAAGTCAAGAGACACAAAACCAACATTGCATCCAAAGCACACAAACGGCTCGTAAACAAAGTAAGGGGAACTAGTGGGGTGCATGGTTGAGTATTATTGGTGCAAATAAGCGCAGTGAGGAGAGGAAATATACATTGAGATGGAGGAAAGGGAGGAAGGGGAGGAAGAAGAAGAGAGAGGAGGAAACTGGTATATAATCCTTCCAAAGTCCTCAAGGCATAGAGGTAACGAGAATGGGGGTGGAGATGGCTGAGGTGAAGCTTTTTTAATATGTCCTTTTTGGGCAACCCCGCATACATGCAACATATGCAATGCAGCATCTTGGTTCACGGGACCAGCAGGACAGGCGTGAAAACAAACACCTGTGATGTGGTAATTGATCTGCAGAACAGATCCTGAGATGTGTTCCTTTGTTGCGATAGACGCTTCACGCACGCCTGCATGCAAGGACCTGGTGCAGATCGAGAGGCAGCAGTGCTGGTCTGGTCTGGCAATCAGCTCAGCCCTTGCACATTGCGCCTCAGGCGGGTGGGTAGAGTTGAATGGGGCGTCTTGTCTTTGCTTGTGTTGATTGGCAGGTGCCTAGGGAAACCACAGCAAGCGCTTCAGTGCTGTCCGTCTGCTTGTCTCCTGCATCGCAGCAGGCGCGCATGGACAACACTGGTCGCAGTGCGTGTTCAGTGTCAGCATCTCGCTGAACACCGCATTGCAGTTGCCGCAGATGAAATTGACGCTCTCGGCGGAGTCGCACGGAAAGGCTGTCCAGTATTCGCTCATGGTGTGTAAGGTCTAAGGAACAAATTGCTGAGAGTACAGGGCCAGGTCCTAGGCAGAGCGTTGTCTTCTTATAGCCCACACTGCAGAGCAACTTCATGGTGCGAGTCGGGAGATCGAGAGGCGCCCGGTTAGTTATCAATCCAGTCGGGAGAGTACAGCGGCAGTCATAACCAGCGCCCTGTCGGCAACGATCGCGTGGAGAAAGGCGCTCTCGGAATCGGCACTCACTGAGTAGAAGGGTCGGAGCAGCACATGGCGTCACGGGCCGGGGGCAGGCAGTGGAGGGTACGCAGGGCCACACAATGCCGGCTGCCAATAAGTGCGGACCTGCGTTGGCGGCGTGTCCACTGACCGGGACAGGGACAGTTGGCAAATGTGACGCCTCTTCAGCCTTCGCCAGTCCATTCCCTTGCAACCTCCCATGCAGATAGCCGGTGTGAGGCAGTTGCTGCAGGGAAAGCTACAGCACAGACATCAGGGTGTGTAGCTGTTTTGCATGTTGTGCGGCATGAAGCGTAATGAGAGCAGTACTGGTTCTTCCATCGGTTAACTGGATAGTACAGTCATTAAGCGCAAGCCTTGTCTTAGCCCACGGATATCCCAATTAGCATTGAAAGCTAGTGCCAACTATCATCTTAGGACAACGTTGGCAAATCAATAGTGTTTTGTGTATACTCTGAACTCCACGTAATGAACATATCACCTTGTAAAACCTTTCAATATCTACTGATGTCCCTTGTGCTGGAAGATAGTGTAATCCTATTTTCTAGATTAATGTCATAACTGCATCATCACTATCATAGAATTGATAATATAGAGATGCAACTGAAGGTTGTTGTGGTTGGGTTGAGATATCTATATTATTCTTTGAATGTGTTGAGTGGAATGGTGACTAATAGAATAAGGAACAGCAGGATGTATATTGTCTGCCAAGTCTCAAATTATGTAGTGCTACTACAGCTACTCTCCAGATATAGAATGACAGTGTAGATCATAGAAAAGCTTCATAGTCTACTATCTAATTTTTATTTTATCAAGAAATTCAGAATTTGCAGTGGAATTTAAGAGTGCATGTCTCCTTTGGCTTATTCGCACCGTGATAGGCTGCATCGATGCATGCCGCATGTCTCTTCTTATCATGATGTGCGATAATATGCGCTATGCCATCAGTCACGGAATAGAATCTCCGCGAGCAGTAGCGGCAGCTGTATATGTTGACTTCGCTGCATTGAGTCATGTTTGTAGTGTAGAATGATATGTAGAATGTGTTTGAAAAGGACGGAGCAAATTGTATTGCGTATGGTATTGGAAGAGTAAACTGGTCGGATCATCCTCTTTATAGAGAACCCACACAAATTACATTACCCCTAAAATGATTCCATGACAACTGAACTGTGATCCTGTTCGGAGATATATGATCTAATGTGTGCATGACATGTTATTCCTACTTCATGTTTTCCAAATTAAAACTACTCATGGGTAGCGAGTATCTTTTTGCTGCAAGGAGATGCAGACAAGTCGTGAGTGGTAGTGGATAAGTTGTTGTCTGTTGGCTTAATTGATAGCTGCAGCATCAATTCAGCATTCACCAAAAATGTTTGTATATAATGTGCTCATGTAGAGGCATAATCGGAAATATTTAACATCTGGAACGAAATTAACAGATAGAGTCAATACCTATAACATGGCTGCTCATAATCAGAATTGACTAAGTTTTACAAATGGTTTCGTGATACTCAGATATACTATCTTCGTTTCATTATGCAGGCCTATTCAGCGACACATCTTGAAAACAAATGCATGCCCCCGTTGTTGTAGGTCTAGAGCACACGGCAGGTGATATAGGGCAAAAGGAGGAAACAGATAACGAGTAACGAAAAATACCTGATATGTGAATGTGTGTATTTTTCGTGTACCGTGGATTCTAAATATCCTGTCAAGCGATAATATGTCAATCCAGAGATGTGCAAGCAGTGTGAACGTATCGGCAACAGAAAATGACAGAGCCAAGTAGTATATATTGATAGAGAAAGAGAGCTATAGAGAAAAGGAAGGTAGAGGCGAGCGCAAAGGTTTTTTACCATCGCTCAGGTGACAGAGCCAGAAATAAAAGAAAAAACAGTGGGATGAAAAACTATGTGGTTCACAGTAATCGGATCTTGAGATTCTACCAAAACCAACGTAAAGAGAAGTTGCATATACTGCAAGACTGCCGGGCAGGCTACGAGAAGAAGAACACTGCCGCCTTTCAGAAAACCGCTGCCACCGAAAAGTGAGCACGTGTGATGGGTAGAGGTGCTACATGCATCCATAGGAGGAGGTTGCCAGCGACACGCCAATCAAAGGCGAGGTCACTGGGAATTCATTCATGAGCCTCTGGCCGAATTTGCAATGTGTGAGGGCTCATCCTGCTTTCTTCAAAGACATCATTATCCTGCCAGTCCACCTATTCCCCGCCATAGCAAAAAAATTGGCTTATGCTGATGCATAGCCGCATATTCCTCAATAAAAATCCACACCAAGCAGGAAGGCAGACGGCAGAGATATACCACGTACGCAGCTTTCGACATTGGAACAGTTCTTTATTATACGGCATCAAGTATTGACAGGTGATTATGAGCCAGATCCAGGACCTTTATGGTGCTCTGCCCTTGGCTTCAGATCCTTTTGTTACGGGTGCGCACCTACCCGGCATGGCTGACTAGTGGCCACCAAATCGGCAATGGATGCAGTCGTCGACACCGTTACCGCTCGTAGGATCCATGATGTGTTGTTGCTCAGTCCTGTGTTTATTTCGTCTCCTTCAGAATGGTGCGATCAGCAACAAAAAAGACACTCCTTGTAAATGCTGGTGCAAGAGAGAAAAGGAGAAATACGTGCCAGGTGTTTCCCCCTTTCACAGTTCCCAGCTATATAACTACTACATTAGCAAGACTGAGAGCAGCGGTCGCAAGGGGTGCAATAAAAAGGGGCATGTCAAGCGTCATTTCCGAAACTTTCTTGGCAGGGTGAAGGAAGATCGACAACGTCCTTTCCTTTTTTGTACAACACATGGAGCGCTATGTATCCACCACTCATGTTTTAGTGAGTTGCTGATGATCCTTGTATCAAGATATTCTTGCACGCGTTTTGGGGAGAAGCGCAAGCGACATGTGGTTTGGTTCAATATACCTGATTTTCGCTGCGTCCACATACGCAGAAGGTTGGGTGGCATCACTGTAAACAAAATAGAGCGTTTTTGGTTGACCAGAGCCAATCAGACCCGCACTTGATCGCTCGAGAACATAGCGTGAGGCGTGGTTCATGTGAAAAGTGGGGTTGTTAGAGAACCGGACCCACGTTCTTGTTAGTGATTTACATGTTTTCTCGTTTGTCTAGCGATGGATGACTAGAACTGTGCCCATCAGGCCTTAAAAATAAATCCGCACGATGATTCTGCCTATTCTTAAGCTCGAGACGCCAACATACCCCTTGTCTCTGCAGTACTCACAGCACTGAGGAAAGTCCCCTTTCGTACATTTTGTCTGAAGTCGGCCAAAAGCCGGCTCAATCACGAATGCCCAGTGGAGTATGTAGGTGTTCATGCTTCGCATGTCCGCAACACCCACCACAGGTTGTCCCACCGCTGCAGCTTATTTGTTGTATTCGGATGTGGGTGTACACTTGGGAGCGTGCTGTCGGCCTTGGCTGATTTCCGAATATGCCGGTCACACGGGTATCATGAACACAATCAGGTTTATGGCTTCAAAAAATGGCCCAAGGAGGGTTTTATTTTTATTCCCAAAGCGGCATGCAGTATGGTGAAAAGTAGCATCAATGGGGTGATGCCCGAGGGACTAGCGGATGTAGCTGGCAGCACTATCCTTGAGAAGGGTGCACCTGAATATATGGCTGCCGGGGTTCTCTGTCATAGACGAGATTTCTCCGCAGTTGAAGCAGCGCTCCTGGGTAGGTTGGGAGAAATCAGAGTACATTGTATGATGGTGTTTGGTGGTGCGAATTGAGGCCAGTAGGGTAGAGTTTGCAAAAAAAAAAAAAAAGAAAAGCGGCTGGCATCTAGTCACATAGCGTCCAGACTTGACTTGCCAGCACAAGGAATAGGCGTGAATTTTGAGTCAGTTTTCCTGGCATCCCTATCTGTGTTCCCTCGCAAGCTACGCAGAGCTCTGGCCAATACCGCAATGAGGAGAAATGCGAGTGATGGCGGCGTATCCTAGGTCTATTTATCCTCTTTTCAACCTGTCCCTCAGATAACAACGTGATACACGGAAGTGAGGTATAAAACTTGTTTTGCACAGATCTGTCTAAAATTATCCGCCACAAGGTGGACATCTTCCCACCACTCCAAAGAGACGCAAAACCTTGCACTTTGCATACCTGCTGCAGCACTGTGCTTCCGAGGCGCATATGCTAGGTGTGCAGATAAGATGTCACGTTGGTATTGACACCAAAGAATATACATGGTAGGGTGAGGGTAAGAAAGGGGAGCAGGCGGATAGCATACGGTTGGGTAAACCCGTTTTTTGTTAGTGAGGTGTGACCAGCACCTCACCTTTCCCATCTTCAGGCAAATCCTTGTGTCCATGCTTACCTTATGATTGGGCTTCACACTTGCTTATCTCTCCCTCACTAGGTGATTTGCCCGGGGCTCGGCTGTTGCGAATTCATATGGTGCAGTGAGGGGACAGGGCTGCTGACGGGAATGAGGGGGATGTTGACAACTGAGGATCATGCTGTGGCCGCTGGGTCGTCGTTCTGCACTGGGGTACACCGCATGCACAGCCTTGCCCTTCTGGCGACGCCAGCACCACGCACACGGCCCACATGGCCGCTTTTGGACGAAGAAGGATCCACATGTGTTGTTTCCCAGCACTCAACCCAACTTTCTCAGTCCTCTTCTTTTCGCTTGACCCATCTGATGAGTGGAGATCATAGGGCTTACCACGTTGCATTGGACGACAATGGCCAGTACACGTTTGTTGTTCCCCGAGGACAAGGCGAGGAAGCGAAGCGAGTTCCGAGTTTGATATTCTGGCAATAGTGCAAAAAAGTGTCTCGCTTGCTTGAAATTGAGCCATTTTATTTAAACTATGAGCTGTAGAAACGAGGGAGGGAGTAGTTGACTATTTTGAGCACATCCGGTGAATGAGGGATGTGTGGAGATAAATATGGCCGTATAGCTAATAGTGGGGAAATGCAGCTAGCATATACATAGCAGAGAAAGGTCGAGTAGTAGTTTGATTTATATACCGTGTCAAATCTGACAAACATGGGAGGGCGAGGCGACATAAGGCCCCGGCACGATGATCTCTGGTCAGAACCGGCGGGGAGGGAAGCACCCTTGAGGTGCTCATACAGCTGCATCACGGTGCTAAACTCGCTCTGGCAGTGGACACAGAAGATGCGCTCGTTGCTCTGGTGGAGGCAGCAGGGCGAGGTGGTCAGTGATTTGGCCATGGTCCGTGATAATAATAGGTTCGGGAGGGGTGGGGATGGAAATGTGGGTAGTACTTGACGAGAGACGGCGACAATTTTAGAACAGAATTATCAATGTTCCTTGCTGAGCGCGCAAAATAAACGCTGGAGGTTTTATAGACAAATGCTGGGGAGAGGCGAGGAGGGGGAGGCGAGGTTGTGTTTTTAGTCGGCCCCTTCCCTCCTTGTCGATCGCCTTTTATACAGCCGTTTCTGGCGCAGATAGGCGCTGGCCAGAAAAAGAGCACGAAAATCGGGACCAGCTATGAGAGGGCTAACAGACACCAACTGCGCGCTGCTCGCTCACAGTGCCATCCAGAGTGTGGAAATGCTGCATTGGACGGCAACTGCCAGCGGGACACATGGGACGAAAAAAGCCCCTCTCGTTTATGCTGGCCCCGCAGAGCGCCCAGAAAAAGCCGCTCAGGCTTAGGAGCAGCGAGAACCGAGGGCTGAAAATCACCAAAAAAACCTGGCTTTGTGGCTCGTCACAGTTTTCTCAGGAACTTTCCAACCATTACCAGCCAGGAATATGCCAGGTTCTCGTTTGAATGTAGAGATGCAGTGGCATGCGGTAGTCCGTCTACAGCGGGCTTGGCGCGTGATATTTCCCCCTTTGGTGGATAGAGGCAATCTGCGGTATGTGAAATCAATGGCGCTGTGAATAGAAGCCGCGGCCGTTGAGGGCAGGCGCCATGGCTACTGTTCATTACTCCATGCCACAGCCCTCCACATATACAGCTTGGTGGCCATCCTCCAGCCCCAGAGTCCAACCCCTATATTCGAACGTAGGCATGCTATTGCGCCAAAGGAATAGCACATTCAACCGCAGGAGCAAGAGTAGCCGCTTGACAATAGGGCGGCATGGCTGCGGTGCCCCAATGATGCAGGATGCTGGCAGCTCCGTGTCGACAAACGGGACCTGTACAATGCGGCTGCATCCTGCATCAGCCATGCCGTGCACATATCCGTGATCTGAACTGCTGATCTGATCATAATTTGGCCAAACAGGCTGGACTTACGTATGCTGCTGCGTGACGGTTTTCGCTGCCAGCTGTACTATTTTTCGCTGGTGGCACGCCGGCGTTTTTCCTCCCCACCAGCGCTTTTGTGTGTCTTGACCTTGCTTACTCCCGTTCTATTATTTCATTTCGCAACAACCTCCTTCCTAAAAGTACCAACAGTATGGACTCTCTTGCACAGGCTGCGGCGGCGACTGCCGAGGATTTCAGCGATTTGGATGCCGAAATCAGGCGTTCAAGCACAGACGAGATTCGCAGCCGCACGCGACTCATTGACAACGAAATCCGTGTGCTGAAGAGCCGGACTACAGCCGGCTGACACACGAGCAGCACAACATGACCATCAAAATCAAGGATAACACGGAGAAAATCAACATCAACAAGCAGCGCCGTACTTGGTGGCAAATGTGGTTGAGGTTCTGGACATCCACCCAGACGGCGACGAGGAGGAGGATGGGGCCAACGTGGACCTGGATGCGCAGCGCCGGGGCAAGTGTGCGGTGATCAAGGCCACGACGCGGCAGACGGTGTTTCTGCCGGTGATTGGGCTGGTGCCGGTCTGAGGAGCTGACGGCTGGAGATCTGATCGGTGTGCACAAGGACAGCTTCCTGATTCTGGAAAAGCTGCCGGCAGAGTATGACTCGCGCGTCAAGGTGATGGAGGTGGACGAGAAGCCGACGGAGGACTACAGCGATATCGGTGGGCTGGACAAGCAGGTGGAGGAGCTGGTAGAGGCGATTGTGCTGCCAATGACCCATGCAGACCGGTTCAAGAAGTCGGTATCAAGCCGCCCAAGGGCGTGCTTATGTACGGGCCGCCAGGCACCGGCAAGACGCTTTTGGCACGTGCGTGCGCGGCGCAGACGCAGTCGACATACCTGAAGCTGGCAGGTCCGCAGCTGGTGCAGATGTTTATTGGTGATGGTGCGAAGATGGTGCGTGATGCATTTGCCCTGGCCAAGGAGAAGGCTCCGACCATCATTTTCATTGACGAGCTGGATGCGATCGGCACGAAGCGGTTTGACAGCGAGAAGAGCGGTGACCGCGAGGTCCAGCGCACGATGCTGGAGCTTCTGAACCAGCTCGACGGGTTCGGCAGCGACGACCGTATCAAGGTTATTGCAGCGACCAACCGCATTGATATCTTGGACCCGGCGCTGCTGCGTTCAGGCCGTCTCGACCGCAAGATCGAATTCCCGCTGCCCAACGAGGATGCGCGTGCACGCATCATCCAGATCCACTCGCGCAAGATGAACGTGTCGAGTGACGTCAACTTTGACGAGCTGGCGCGGTCGTGCGACGAGTTCAACGGTGCTCAGTGCAAGGCCATTTGCGTGGAGGCTGGCATGATCGCGCTGAGGCGTGGAGGCACCAAGCTGTCGCACGAGGACTTCATGGAGGGAATCCAGGAGGTCCAGGCCAAGAAGAAGACCTCGTTGCAGTACTTTGCTTAAAGACCACCTATTTCTCTTTCACCGTTCAGATATACATCTACCAACCAATGGAACTCGGGCTTTTTCTTGCAATACACATATCAGATGCCAGATACATGCACCATGCTATATAGTTTAGTAAAATTGGCCAAAGAACAACAAAAGTATAATTCTGGGTAATTTTTTTAGAGAATGCGCTGGAGCCGGTCGGCAATGTTGAGCTGGGCGCGAGTCAGGTTGGTCAAGTAGGCAACCATGAGGATGTCCTGGAGGTGGACTGGAACAGGACTGCGAACTGCTTGTCGACCTTGGGCACAACGGCCAGCATGTCCATCAGTACTTGCCAACAATGTTGTTCGGCTTCTCCTTACCATCAACAACGTTGGTGACATACTTTGGTAACACGGTCAAGCATAGCGTGCAGCTCCTCAATGGTCTTCTCCAGCTGCTCCATATCGGAAACGAGGCCAGTGACGCCCAGCTCGCTGCTGTCGGCGGCGGCTGCAGGGCGCTGAGCTC